GTGGTTTTAACCAGGCAGCAATTGAGCTAGTCATTTCCCCTCCAACATGTATTAATCATGATTTCTCACATAGTTGAAAAACTCAAATTTCATGAAGGACATTTTCCTAACAGAAGCAAAACAACAAAAACCAGAAAGAAAACCCCCAAAAACTTGACCTAGAAGTTTTTCCTTTTGTTTCTGTCAGGCTTTCTTTTCCTCAGTTACTGGAAAGCAAATGCTTACAATACTAACTGTTGTCATATTTTATCATTTTTTTGTATTACCAAGGTCAGGCTTTCACATGTAGATCAAATAATCTCAAAATTATTGTACTAAGGTAAATAACTGGATAGGGTGTGCAATTAATAGTGCATTGCCCTTTAGGGTTTGTGCAGTTAGTGTAGTAACAATTCATTTGTGTACTTGTGAAACCATGCAAAGCTGTTGCCATCCAATCAAGAAATGGTGGGTTTAGAGTGTAAAAACTTCACATATGTAATTTTTTTTACCACTTAATGAGACATAGGGGTAAAAAACAGAATTCCAGCTAATGGTAGAATGGACACTGCAAAAGAGAGTAACTTATATTAAAAGTAGTATTTTTATTAACAAGTGTTGTTATTCTTATTTTTAAATTTCTAATGAGTGACTTATTGCATAGATATTATTAAAAGTCTTTTCAGTTTGCCTTACTTCAGATCACATATTTTCACTACTGAAGAGCATAATTAAAGACAAAATTATCATGATCACTCTGATTAAGAAAGCTAAGAATATACATTGATTCAACATTAGCATTTGAAGTACATTAGATAATTAATGCATATAAAAGGTTCAGTCTAAAAGGAAAAAGTTATACTAAAGAATTTTGTGGTTTGGGTTTATTCACTAATAGGAAAAAGTTATACTAAAGAATTTTGTGGTTTGGGTTTATTCACTAATAAAAGAGCCCATGAAACCAATAGTCATCAGCTGGTCTTCCCTTCCTATTATGGTATTAAAAAATACTAAGTCTTAGTGGGGTAAGTAGCATAATTTAATCAAAATGTGCAACACATTTATAAAAATATATAAAAAAAATGTCTCAGAGTATATGCAAGAGAAGTATAGAATCCTGCAGGCATTCAGAAGGAACAGGATGACTTCAAAGGCTGAGGTAATGGAAATGAGAATAAATACATCTGTGCTATAAATTAAGAACTTCAGCTGTACATGAGTAGAGATGCCTGCTACGCCACAGTATGATACAATCAGGTAAAAAAAAAACAATAAACAAACAAAAATCCAGGACCAAAGGATTGTTTGATATGGAATTTCCAGTAGAAACAGCAAATTTTATTGCTGTCCAGCCAGTTGTATTTCAGAAAGCTGATTTAAACAGCAAAGGTACAAAGAAGAGCTAGTGTGATGAAAAGGTAACATGAACCCCAGGAGAATGAAAATATTCAATCAGATAAGGTAAAATACGCTTGATTTGTTTAGTGTAACACCCCAGACATGGAGACCTGTACAATTTCCATCCAGCAGCGCCTTGACACAGCTACCAGCCACAGAAAAACCACCAAAGGCGAAGGGCAGTGTTTGTACATGCACAAAGTAACTTAGGGAACTCAAGAAGATTCCTAATCCTGTGTGCAATGCAGTCAGACAACTTCTAGAAGTTACTAGTAAATTCAAATAAACTAATTTGGTTAGAAATTGAGTCTGATTTAGTGAAGGAGCAGATAATGTGTCTGTATCTGCAGTAACAGTGGACAGGAACCACAAAGAAAGTGCTTTTGGGTTTAGGTACCTCATGATAGAGTTTAGACAGAGTGTAAACGATGCAATCTTGTAGGTGTTGAAGATCCAAACTTAACTTCATGATACAGAATTTATCCCTGACTTCCATCCTCATCTGGGATGAACAGGCAGAACTACTAATATCAATTAGCTCTCAGCTCTAGTGAAGGAAACCTGGATTAGACTGCCTAACACTCCTCCAAAGCTAGTTAGCAACATTACCCTCACACTGGATTTGAAATGAAGATTGTGCAAGATTTTATTTAGCTACTGTGGCAAGTCATGAAACTACTTAAATATTGATTATTTTTTTTTTGAAAGCTTTTTGTAAAACAATAGGCAAAAGACCTGCTAGAGTCTGGGGCCAAAATGCAGGTAATAAGCTGAGAAGAGCAATAAAAAAAAATGATTTTGAGACTATTACAGGCTAAAGATTTGACTGAGAGCACAAGTTGAACCTGAATAAGCTTATATAAACTATTGAAAAAGGCACAGATTGGCTGGCTCAGGCAGCCAGCTGCACTCATTCTGTTAGGATTAACTAAATCTATAGCAGAGATAGCAGCAAGCAAGATGCATCCACACATGAGACAATGTGGAGTAAAATACATGAAGGTTCCAGCATTTTCAGGAATATTTTGAAAAGTTATCAAATGGAAAATCTGGACATGATTTATAATGATGTATGGAGAAATTTTAAAACATCTCTGTATCATCTCCTCCCATTATTGTGCCTATAAAATTATTTTTAGCCAGCATGTCCACGGAAAATCATGAGCAAGAGTGATGTGCCTTATGTAAATTGCTTTAAACCTCCCTCCTCTCCCCAACACAAGTTCAGTGGGTGGCTTCCTGACCACTGTGGCCCCTCAGGAATACCACAGAACTTGACTACCCAGGAACTTCACTGGGTAATGAAACAGAGGGCTACAGGGATGGGATTTTCTTAAAAACAGAACATGTTTTGCAAAGACAGTTTCAGCTGCATGTCTCAAAGGATGAGAACCCATGAAACTTAAAAATTGTCTGCCTCCTTCTAAAATGCAGATGCACCTGCTAGACTCCAGGTCCTAGCAGGGGCCCATGTTACCTGCCAGAGCCTCACAGCAGCACAGGGACAAGAGCAGATTATGCTTTTGGACAGACAGTAAGCTTAAATTTAAATACAGATTCAGTGCTTTTGTTACTCTTGCTATTTAGGGAGCTTAGTGAAAAAAGTACACTGTGTTTTCATACAATCTTAAACACAGGCTATTCAAATGAACTTTTTAAACAAAAACACACATCTAACAAGTAAGCTTGTTTAGTGTACGGGATATACTCTATTACTATTCATCCAAAAGAGGAGAAAAATTCTACAGGTTTCTGTTTTCTTCCACAAAAAAATTTACTCTTTCAAAATTCAGATGTGCCAACAGTGTCTTATGGAAGTGGAGAGTCTCTGCTTCATCTTCTTTTAAGTAATCAGAGAGCTGGAAGAGAGGATGATAACAAGGAGCAGCACAGTTTAAAATGAACCATAAGTTCATCTGAAATGATGCATCTACAGCAACCTTTCCACGGATGAATTGTCCTTCGCATTTGTCACTTTTTTTCACCAACTTTTAAGTTTTGAATTATTCCTGTAACATAGGCATGTATACAATGGAAATTTCTAATTTCACAGTATTGTTGAGTGTGTATCAACCAAAACTCCACTCCAGCATCGCTCAGAGTGTAGAATTTCAGTATGTTTGACATAGAGAAGCATAGTTCCATTCAACCTTTCTGACTTACCCTGTGAATCTGACATTTTCCACTTTGATGAAGCAGTTGATTTTACATTAGAAGGGAATTTAGTGATATTATAATATTATTTCATTGCAACATAAATAAGGACTTCTTCGCATAGTTTCTAACATGAAAACAAATAAAAACTCAAGGAGTCAATTCTTTCTGAATAGCTTTGGTGTTGTGTTTATTCCCCAGTACAGGAACAATAAGGAAATTCCAGGAACAGCTAGGAAAATGCCTGACATTTCAGAAACCAAAATACATACTTAGAATGAAATATGAACGTATCTATTCCCGCTTCCTGGAAAAAAGACAATTTTCTAGGTAAGTCTGTATGAGAACTCCACTATATAATGACAAAGAAATAAAGTTCATTAAAATCTACTGAAAGCTGACAACATCAGTAGTGTGCAGAGATATCAGACACAAACTCATTAAACTTCTCCAGTAACAGGATGCATGATTAATCGCCAAGTCTTGCAACTTTATGACTGAAATGACGGAACATCTAAGCCGGTACATTGTGTTTGCAATGAACAATCCATAGCAGACTGTGAGACAGAGCATGTAAAAGGGATGGGAGAATGGAAGGAAAAGGCAGAATCTTACAATACCAAAAAGCAGGTTGACAAAGTAAAGTTACAAGGAATACAACTGAGCCCCCAGGGAAACAAGGATTACAAAATCTCATGTGAAAACCTTGTCAAAAACGCTTTGCCTCATAATGGGAAGCAAACCTGTTTAGAAGAGAGAGCCAAGGGATCTATTTGAAAGTTGCCAGTACATAACAAAGACTGATGGAACAGTAGTGCTTAAGCACATCTGAACCATGTGAATGCAAACACCTGATGCCAACACTGTCCTGTTCCCTTCTACTCTTTCACATATCGGTGAGACCATCTCTTCATTTTTCCCAAACAAAGCCAATTATCAGTTGAGAAATGAAGTTATAATAGTGCTAACAAAAAGGAGAATCAGCATAACTGCTGAAGTGTTAAACTACACTGTAACCCTCACCACAACTAAAGATTCCTCTAACAAGTGTACTGTACAAGCAGTTTTTCAATTTCTAAATTAAACATGTAGAAAGGAATAAAAGTTTTCTTTGTCCTAAAAAGTATATCTGCACAAATTATAATACAGTAAAAAGTTCTGTTCCATAAATATATCCTCTAAGATTAGAGATATCTAGGTCAAACAATCACAATCCACTGCAGCTGTAAGTCTCATAAAATTAACTATCATTTTGCAGAATATTAGTTAATTCCTCACCCACTCATGTTCAGTGTTATGAATGATTACAAAGTGCCCCCCAGGTCTTTTCAGTTTAGAACACGTGTTGTACCTCAATACTGCATCACGAAGAACACGCTGTATCTTGAAACACTGCCATGTCCTTGGTTAGAGCAAGGGCAACAGTGGGAAAATCACTGCTTGCAAGTGTGGTTTGGAGACAGGCTTACCTTTGCCAGCATTTCGAGGAGGAAGAGGAGGAGCATCAGATGTTGGAGAGGTGGGTGAGTCTGTGCTTACAGAAGCAAAGATCTGGTTGGTAAAGGCTCCGTAGGAGAGTCTTTGCTTGTCTCTGGGAGTGCTAAATGAAGGGTGAGTCAGTTTGTCTTGGGGAGAAATGCTTGAGGAGTGACAAAAGCTTTGGGGTCTTGGAGATCTTTCCTTTTTTATAGGACTAGGCTGTGAATAGAAAAACAAAGATGTGATATAGCTGTCTGTGAATCAGTGTCTAAACACTAATTATAGTTAGTATGTTTGGAAAAAAGCATACCAGAACATAATTTAGTGAACATGATCCTAGTTTTTTTTTTCCTTTGTTGGACAAATAAACCCCCATTTCTCCCGTTTTCAGTAATTCAACCTGAAAAGTCCCCTCTTCTAAATGAAAATTAAGATTGTACCATCAACAAATCATCACAAACACAAAATTAAATTTAATGTTAAGGCAGGAAATAATATACCAAATTATAATATATAAAATATAATATACTAAATATATATATATACACTAATACATATATAATACACTAAATAAAATACCAATAAAAACCTAGTAAATTTTAGAAAAGTAATTTTCAAGGAATATAGCACATTTCTCAGAATAGAGTATTAATTATCCTCAAGTATCAAGTATATTACTCCACTGATGCCTAGTAAAAATGAACAAACACTCCTGGACAGATCAGATTTATTTGGTCTCTGAACCAGCAATATAATCCATGATACAGCTCTATTTAAATGCTTCTAATTGCTCTTTGAAGAAATTTTACACATCAGTTTTTGCCTGCTGTACGTTAATGGGTGCATATGGAGCACGATCTGTTTCCCTGCAGCTCTGGTTCAGGTTATTATCTCCAGCACAGCATCCCTCATCCTCCAGAGCCTCCTCATACAGATGATTATTTTGCTCTCTACAAAATTTTGTCCTTGAGGACATGCAAATTACTTCGGTTTCTGAATTTTTCAGTCCCAAGTTCCACAGAAAATGAGAAGTTGTCCACATTTCTTTCTGCGGCACTCACATAAAATAGGAGAGGTGTATTCGCATTTATTGCAGAAATAGAGCACACAGTAATTAACTGGCTTGCTAAAGTAGGACACTGAGGCTAATTTTTCACATGCTCTAGGATGGCAATTATTCTATGCCCTAAAGTTTTGCCTTTCTATTACTCCTTTTTAAAAAAAAAATCAGGAATAAATAGCACAGCACAGTTTGTGGAAAATAAAGTTATTTATTTAATAACTAGGTTTTTAATTAATTCATGGAAAAAATTAAGTATGTAAGCTTCAGATTTCCTCCAGCTAAAATTTAACAGCCTAGAATTCTGAAGAGGATAAAGCAACAAAGTAGCCCAGATCTGCTGATTTACATCATACTGTATGTCTTGTCAAACTTCTGAAACAGCCCATAATAACTAGGTTGACAAAGTATATTCAAAAAATACTTATCCAGTCTATAATACAGGCCTCAAAATTAGTTTTTTTTCCCCAAAAAAATATCTGTAAGAAAAGGAAGGCCAAAGTGGGTCTCTAATTGCCATTTTTTTCCAGGGAGCAGAGATGCTGCCAGTTTTGGTGGAAAGCTGTATCCGTAATTCACACTCACTTTATCATCCAGGTCATCGTCACTTTCATCAATTTCTTCCTGCCGAAGATTCCATTCGTACTCCACATGCACGTGTGGGTTTAGCTTTCCTGCCTTGGCTTGAGAAAGCTGAAAGAAATAAAAACTCTAGTTAAAATACTTGCAGTTCTTTTGGTGTTAACTTAGTTAACACCAGTTAACCAGTGACAGTTTTGTAATGGCAAGAAATAAACTGGAGTATTCGAAGTTTTACAATTATTCCAGATTCAAAGAAGAACAAAGCAATTTCAGGGCAATCACACAAACATCCTTCATTTGTTTGAGGTATAGAAAGACAGCTAAGAGGCAAAAAGGAAAGATTTTCTCCAAATGGGCAGAAGTCACCGTGTTTGACAAGCATTTGAAAAGATGACATTAAGAGAAGGTATATGCACAAAAGCAGAATTTATCCAGAGCCCTCCTTTCCAAAAAGGAAAGGCAAAACCTATTTATACATTTTGGTACATATAACTGCTGTCCCAGCAAAATCACAATCCTTGTACTTGGAGCAAATGAAAAGGTGTTTACATTTTATTTAGGTATTTTGCCACTTTCTCTCACTGGATAAGGCCAATATACCTTAAGCACAAAATTCCTCAACTTTGTTAGCCCAAGTAATGTATTTCACATTCTTTAAAAAACAACTACCTCAATGATCACCAAAAAAAAAACTAATAGAGAAGTTCATGGTTATTTTGAGGAAATAAATTCTCCTTTTCAATGCCTAGATCTTCCCTCCTTATTTATTCCTTCATATCCTTTGAAATGTAGTATACTTGATAGTAGTTGATTCAAGAGTGCCTTTAACTGTCTTCCTGAAATAAAACTGGGAATAAAGGAAGTATTTCCAATCTGTTATGTAAGTATTCATGAACCCACTTGAGCTGAAACTGAATTTAATTACACAGTTAAGACTCCAGTTATGCAACAGAAATGAGTTTAGTACATCTATCATAATACAAACACCTAGTTATTTATCTTGTACTTTTTTATTGCCCACAGCAAACAATGTGCTTATTCATGTTTCCTTTTCACTCTTGACTCATTGCTGCTTGTGGAAAAAAAAAGGCAGAAATAATTTTCCTCTTCAAAAATTAAAAAAAAAAAAGAAATAAAAAAAGAAGAGAAAAAGCATAAATGCTCTGTGAGAGTTAAGTGAAATAATCATTGAGGTATTAATGGAATTTGGATCACTATAACTAAACGATTAACTGCTAGATAAGCTCACTGATAACATCCACTCGACTGTTTGCTCTGTAACACAGACAGCTGGTCCACATTAATGGCAGATGTCACTTTTTTAAAGAGATACTATAAAGAAAAAGAGCAGTCAATCCCAATTGTGTGCTGCACAGGTGGATCTGCTTGATCCAGCTCACAGGACACTCAAACCACTGGAAACAGCACCTACTCACACACTACACATGGGAGTAACCAAGAAGTCAGTCCCACCTGATCAACCACTGCAAAATGCTGACTTGCATCCCCAGAAACACGGAAAATTTCTTTGATTTGTGAAGGACAAGGTCTTTTGATTATTCAATAATTAATTCATGACAAGAACTTTCAATTGTCACAGGAAAGGTATTAAAATTACTGGCTGCAGAGCAAAAGCAGATATGCTCAGATCATCAAAATGAGGAAGAAGAAACAGAATTAAGTGGCAAGTGTTTTGTAAATTCTCCTTGTTTTGTCTTGAATATGAAAATGCCACAGTACTTAGACTTTTTCATACCTTGATAGTAATTAAATTCTCTTGCCTATAAAATGCATGCTGGTGGAACCTCAGAGGGCCAAGAACAAACAAGTTTGTTGGTCTGATATAAAATCCTTATGCCTGGCTAAATGCTTCAGAGGAGTACCTGGGAAAATCCTTAACACCTTTATTTCTTGAACAGCAATAATCTTTTTGAGTGGTGTCTGTTAAGATCCCTCACACATTCTCAAAATTCCAGGAAGTTTTCTTTGAACATGTTCAGTAGAGGGACAAAGTCCCACAGAAGCTGGTGTTCTACATCTTTTGATACGCCAACTTCCAGACATTTTCTTCTTCTTCCTTTCAGGAGAGTAATTTTAAGTTGTTTTAATTCTCCTTATAGAAAGACTTCCACCATCCCTGAACTATCTGTCCTGTTAAATAATCTGAAAAAAGCCAAAGCAGAAAAACACAAACAAAAGATCCAGACCTAAAAGGTCTTGACCGTTTTAATTTTACAGGGGTTGTTTAGTACTCCTGATATTAAAGCCTCTAAGAAGAACTTCTGAGGTGATGAAACCCAGATCTCCTCAAATGATGTATTTATTGACATATCTGACCCTCCGGTACTTAAGGTCTTCAAATACACTGATTAAAATAACTAGTACTGCCACTAGAAGAAAACCTTTTTCATAAAGTGTTACAAAGAAAATGATTGTTGTGTTTTAGGTAAGAAAAGAGTCACCTGTGGTAGGGCCTTCAGATCAACCCACAGCCAGCTGGCAGCAACACCAGGTGTGAGATACAGTGGTAATGATATATTAAGTGTATCTTTTTTGAAGAAGCAAACACTCCCCCGTGGCCCCAGGCCCAGTCCTTACCAGTTCCTCGCACTGGACAGCTTTCACTCGTTTCGCTGTGTCCAGAGCTGTCTCTCCAGCTTGGTTTACTACAAAATTAACAGTACAAAAAAAGAGCAATTCTTTGAGATGTCTTAAGAAACAATTTATTACATTTCACTACTTGTAGCACAGTAACTTCTAAAAGTGATCAAAAACACCTGTTCACTCTACAGCAGCTACAGCTCTTTAGTAAGTGTTCATGCCTTTCATGTATCATCAGGTTCTTTTTGAGCAGAAGCATCTGCTGGGACAGTTCCCAAATCCCTCCTATAAAGAAATTTAGTCATCTCAATCTCGACTCAGTGCTTTTGCCAATAAAATGTACCTGAATAAGCAGGAGAAGCAAGCAGGCAGGGCAAAATAGCTCAAAAAAGAAAACTAATTCTAAGACTTTAAAAAAAAAAAAGGGTAAATGTCAATCCAAGCAGATTTTACTTTGCTTAATATGCAGAGGCTTGAAGCCTTAATTTGGTGACATTTGAACAAGAATAAATTTAAATAAATTTAAAACTTTCTAGCTTTGTCTTTATCCAAGCTATAAAATAGTTTACAATTTAAAATCAGAAAGGAGGTGATAATCTGAGGCTGCTGGGAGTTCCTCAGGCACAGCATCTAATGCAATCCTTCCTAGATGTTCAGTAGCAAATCTCAGTAAACAAAAACAACTCCCACATGTGATGTAGATAAACCCGAGGTAAAATGTACTCACAGTACATCAGTAAATGCCATGGGGCTGGAACAGAGAATGCTCTACAGCACATTCAGATTGTAAAGCATTTCTGTGATCAGGAACTGAAAATTATCAAACTAAGATCTATAATATCTGTGTGAAATATTACATAGAGAATGCCAGTTAGGAATCCTTGAAAATACAGAGCAGTCCTCTAGAAAGGCCTGTGACTTTAAAAGAATTCAGATCCCTAGAAGAAAGATTTCCTTATGGAAAGATCTATCAGAGATGGCTCAATATGAAAAGGAACGGACAGATAGAACTCTCTGAACTCTGATTAGGATTTGCCATTACTATTTCATACTAGGAATTATTGTAACTATTATCTTCTAAGAATTCCATTTCTTGAATGAATGTTTCCTTTAGGCTTGTTGTAGATAAGGTCTTCATCTTTCTACCACAGTTTTATTTTAGAAGTTTACTTACCAGAGAGAAATAAACAAAAGTGGCTAAAATATTGGGAAGAAATTTTAGGAGATCCGTATTTCCTGGTTTTAAATAATTAACTTACCTACATCAATAGTTGGCTTCCCCCTCAAAAGCAATTTCAAACACTCAGGCTTATTATATATACTGCAGTAGTGTAGAACTGTATTACCCAATGCTGTTTGTTTGTCCAGGTTTCCACTAAAAAAATAAACAACAAAACAATCAAGAAAAGTACAGTAGCTGTGCTATTCATTTATTCATTTCAGATCTAGCATCCCTATAAATAGTAATTGCATAAAAAGCTTTACTGGACAAACAGGAAGTAGGACAAAAAATATTTAAATTAAACATTACTTTCAAAGACTATTAAGAATTTTTCCAAGAACACTGGAAATATCTGAGCTGTGACTGAAAAGAACTGAGAGTCTTCAGATATTCATTCAAAAAAATAAAGAAGGGAAATTCAGAGACTCAAAGCTAGACCTCTCTAAGTCCATGCCAGTTGTTTTCCACTTGCCATTCCACTGTAATTCTTTTTTCAAACATGTTAAGTTAGCAATATAGAAATATCTGAAAAATAATTCTGATACAGTTAAAATAGGTAAAGAAATTCCATGCAGCTAAGGGACTATCAAGAGGGCAGCTGTGAGAATGAACAAAAGAGTTGTAAGAAGGAATATAAGGACAACACATCAAGTTAGAGAAAAAACAGATGTGCAAAGGGTCTCACACAGGGCTTTTTTAAAAGCTGTACTTCCTTCAGTTTTCAACTTCTAAACCCAGGTTTTCTCAAAAACTGTTACTGACATTTTGGGAACAATAAAATATTTCCATAAACTAGGAAAGCAAAGCTCAGGAGATGACAGCTTTTCCCAGTTTGGAAATATTGGACAGAATTGGACAGTATTTTCCAGTATTGGACAGTAAGAGCCCACAGGGCTGTAAAGATGGTCCTAAACCTGAGACTGCCACAAAAAAACATCCAGCAGACAGAAACACAAGGTTATAGCTGTCTGAAGAAATTAAGAAGCTTCATAACTAAACAAAATAATTTGAAATAATCATCCAAATAAAAAAAAAAACAAACAACAAAACATTTGATAATGCTCAAAATAGCAATTTGGGTTTCTAAAACGTTTTTCAAATTATGAACTCAAAGAGCTTGAAAATATTGGAATGTTATTTTTCATTTGTTACTTTAGTAACACTCTCCTATAATCAGCACTCACACTTTTCACTAAGGTTTTTTACTTCTAGGAACACATCCCTTAAAGAAAAATTCAGCCAATAAACTAGATGTTGAAAATTACTAATTAAGAAGTTTTGCTCTCAATAGCTTTAATACAGTTTATTAACTATTGGAACATCTTTTTCAAAGTCAATTTAGCATCTGTTCATAATTTTCTGAGTGTTTTGTTTGAATTTTCTGTTAATAGTTTTCTACTCTTACAATTCCTTTGCACATGTCCTGTATTTGGTACATTTACCTGCCATCCCTCCTGGACCTGAACTATTTGTTTGCATGGCTTCATATCATCATGTGCTCTAAATCAATGCTCTCCCATGCACTACAGAGTTTTTCCTTTCATCCTATTTTTATGTAACTGCTTCCAATGCTTTTAATCTACACATCTTTCCCTCTCTCTACTGACCAGGAGCACAAAGGTCAACTCAAAGGTACTAAACTATTCTCTTTTGAAACATATCTATGGAGAAAGATTATAAATTCTGAGCAAACACTGTCAAAGGCACTGCCAGAATTACTCTGAACACCCACATTTGTCATGTGCTATTCAATGATAAGTCAGCAATCCATACCAGTTTTGTACAAGGAAGTCAACCAGATGGAGAGAGGTTTGGTCAGCAGTCCGGACTGCTAAATGAAGTGCTGTTTCACCTGGCTCCTAAACACACATAAATAGAAGTTAGATTTCTGTCTAATTTACAAAGCTTGTATATCAGACCTATGAGATACATCTCATTCACTCTTTACAAGTCTTTAGAAATAAAAATATTATGATGAAAATGATTATCTTTTTTTGTCTCCAAAAGACCCTGTGTGCTTCAAAGGAAACAGCATTACACTTCCCAAGATCTCTGCTTTCCTAAACCAAATTTTCACTTTTCCCAGCTGGATAGAACAACCCTGAGGAGCCTTTAACCATTTTAGCTACCAGCAACTGAAAGGGATCCTGTCAAGGAATACTGAGGAAATTTGCAGTACTTGTTTTACAACAGCCCGGTGAGCACCAAGCAAAGTCACAACACTATCTCCTACAGAAACAGCATCACAAAAATCAGAGTCCTACATACATTAAAACTCTTACAGATTTTCAGAACAGTTGAAGTTGGAAAGGACCTGTCAAGTTACTGCAGACCACCAAGGACCAACACCACTGGGCTCCATCTTCATTCCACCCTCCCTGCAGCTATTCCATACAACAATGATATGCCCCTGAGCCTCCCCCCAGCTGAACAGTCCCAGATCTCAGAGCCTTTCCAGGTGCTCCAGACTCTCAGACATGTTTGTGGCCCTTCATTCAATCCAGCATGTCCAAGTCTCTCTTGTTGTGGGAAGCCCAGACCTGGGCACAGCCCTGCAGCTGTGGCTTCAGCAGTGCTGAGTGAAGGATCACTGCCCTTCATGTGCTGGCAATGTGTCCACACTGCCTGGAATGCCACTGTCACCTCTGCCACAAGGGCACCCTGCTGGCCCTTGTTCACCTTGCTGCCCCATCTGGACCCTCAGGTCTCTTTGAGCAGAGCTGGGTGGTTCCCAGCATAAAGTCGGCACATGGGGGTCTCCCATATATAGGGTTTCTCCTTGTCAAATCTGAATTCAATCATACTTTATTTTCTATACATATCATATGCAATAATGCACTGAAACAGAACCAGAAATGCTGTTTAATTCCTTTTAAAAGTTGCACGAGGAGTTAATCTAAATTTAGATTTCATTAACTCCTACTGATCATAAAGAAAAATTAAAAAAGCATATTACAGGATATATACTTAGAATTAAAGCCTTAATTTAAAAAGTATTATTTTATTAAACATCATAGAATTTGCAGAAGAGAATGCTGCAAATTACATTTCAATTGGTGCTCACAGCTTTCTAGACATCACTGACTGTAATGGCTGGGAAGACTAAGGAGCTAATTCTGTGGTAACTGCTTGTGGAAGACAAATACAGAAAACTGACCTTGCAGTCAGGGAATTTGTAATGTGTTTTCATGATAAGCACTCTGTGATAGCTCAAGTGCTGAGACTATACTGAACTTACCCCTTTCACTGAACACAGACAGGCACTGTCTGCATCAACTTAGCTATTTTCACACAACTTGTTGAAAACATTCTCTGACATGTCTCCAGGTTGGGAGAAAAGACTGCTGAGCAAATGGTTACATGGCATTAATTATCTATTATCTATAAAAGCAGGTTATATACTCATGATTAACATTTGTCCATGAATAATTGAGGTCAACCCAGAGTTTTTTCAGAAAAACTGTTACTGATTTCAGAAGGAAGATCAAGTACTCAGAACTTGATACACACACATGCACACAGAAGAACTTTTCAGGTTGAAAGAAATTGTACTTCTGTAAATGTCTCATCAGAAGCTGTGAAGTCATCAGATTTATTCTTTCCTCGTCTACAGTAAACAGAGACTTGCAGACAGTCAATAACATGTTCCTTCAGCCACTATTTTAAATGCAGGTATGCTACTGTGATATGTGGTACCAGGTGACCCTGGGCTATCAAGTGATTTCTTTGGGACTTTTCTAAGAGACACATTGCAGAACAGGTGCTTTTCAACGCACTACAGTGGCACCAAAACAGTGTATGATATCACTATTTCATTTCACACTCCTTTAGATCAATTGATGACAAAAGATAGTGTTCCTTTCCCTCCCTACAAGGATGCAACATTTAGGAATGAAAGAAAACCCCAACATTTTCATCTGCTATTTATTTTGTTTTATCAAAGTAGAGCCACAGATCCTGGGCATTTTACAAATACACATGATTTAAAATAGTAATTGTTTACCTGATAAGCTTACCTGTCCAGGCTCCAGCAGTGGCTCCATTAGCTCTACCCCCTCTGCATAGACTTGAATTAGTGCAAGTAAATCCCTGGATTTGACAGCCTCAAGTAATTCACTCAGTTTAGCTGCCGCAGATGCACAAGTCTTCCTAGAGAACTTATGATCTACATATTTAGCAGTGATAAATTCTTTACGTGCAGTCCTACGGGGTGTGAAAATAGAGCTTGCTTTAGAAATTTTTAGAAAAATGGGTCAATGATTATAATTTAAAATCACCTTGTCTAACTTGGAAGCTGAAAACTATCTGATAAAAAGGGTGTTTTTTATTGTTACACTGCATGTCTTTCTTGCAAACAAGCCCCAAATATGGAACATTGTCGATTTTATCCTGTCTTCTTATATACAAAAATTACTCTGTGGGGACTAAGACCAAAAGAGAGCAGAGCCATTTAGACCACTGTGTTTATCATCTGAGGGTTTACCACAAAACTCAAAACCATTCAAGAGTGGAATAATGCACCTTGAAATCCAAACTAAAGAGTTTTCTACACAGGGAAGCTGAGGTAGCTAAAATGTGACTATATGACTGGAGACTAAACATCTAAAAAGCTCCACAGTGGGAATAAAAACCTGCAGTCTTTTGCAATCCATGCCTTCCCCTGGCTTTTTTACTGTTTAAGACACTTTACATCACAGATATATTCCACAGTAACCTTAGAAAGTTGAAAGATTCAGTACTTACATATCACTTGATGGACTGGGTTTAGGTGAAGGACTAGGTAAATTCCCTTCCATAATATCATTAAAACTAGTATTTCCTACATTCTTGGCCAGCTGTGATAAGAAAAGAATAAATGAAGATGAGGACTTTTGGGGTCTAACAGCAACCTAACAATAGGACTGCTAACGTGCATTTTTCCACACAATTAATAAAAGATGGAAAACATAGGACTGAAAAATTAAAGCCCAATGATTACATGCAGATACAGAGCAATTAAAAACAAAGAAAACGATTCTATTATGCCAGAACTTGTACAATAGACTTCAGAGTCAGAATTATTTGCATTTCAAGACGATCTGCCTCCAACATAAAAGCAGAATGAGGAACCAGCAGCATGAACATTGAAATGGTGCTGGTACACTGATCAGGAAACTGCTTTGAGAAAGATGCTCAGGCCTACTGAAGATCATGCTTAGTAAAATTTGATTAAGATCAATAGTAATTTTGCAAAAAACCCTCAGTATTTCATGAGCAGAGAAAGTGGTAATGTTGAACCTATACCCAAATCCAGATCTGCCTTACATCTTCTCTCAATTTTCCTATATAAAATTTCTGTAACATGTGTCATCTATAAGGCCAAACACAGATAGGGAGATAAAAGCTACTGCAACTGTTTCTTTTTGATTTGTTATATATTATTATATATTATTGGTGCTCTTGTCACTTCTCATTTCATGTCCTGAGGTG